CTCCTTAATGCGCAGGCCCCCGCCGCCCTGGCCGCGCACCCCAAGCTCTTTCTGCTGGAGAACGCCAAGCTTGCTGGCCTGGCCGCGGACAAGTTCCCCCATCCGGCCCCCTATCCGCATAAGGAGCGCTTGCCGGCGCCGCTGGAGCAGGTGCTGAAGGAGAACTCGGCCCTGACCGCCGAGCGCGGCGGCGTCAAGGGCCACAGCAAGCTGCCCGGGGGCTCCGCAGATGGCAAGCCCAAAAACTTCACCTGCGAGGTGTGCGGCAAGGTGAGGCCCAGGGGCCGTGGGGGCTGGGAGGGGCGGCCAGCGGCGGCTGCTTCCCTAGAGGCAGCCTGGAACGCCCCTTTCTCAAGCTAAGGAGCTCCCCAGTCGCTGCTTATCAGATCGGAAGCCTAGCTGGGCCTCAGTTTCCTAGCCTGTAAAATGGGATGCCCTCGTCAGCGGCCACACAATATTAATGTAAGCAGCAGGTTGGGAAGCAATCACGAGCTGGAGAAACTCTGGTTTCTGAAGGGAAGTGTTAGTTGGAGGCAGGAGGCTGTGGCCCTCCGGGCCTGATTGTAGGCCCTCGGACGAATGCACCACGAGGTCCTCTCCTGTCTTTCCGTAGGTGTTTAACGCGCACTATAACCTCACCCGCCACATGCCGGTCCACACCGGAGCCAGGCCGTTCGTGTGCAAAGTCTGCGGCAAAGGCTTTCGCCAGGCCAGCACGCTCTGCAGACACAAAATTATCCACACCCAGGTACGTGGTCCCGGGTCGGACCCAGCCCGCGCGCACTCCCCCCCCCCCCTTCTTAGCGATGACGTTGGGGGTAGGATGGCCGAGGATTCTCCCTTACCCTCGGAGGGGAGGGAGGAGAAGGGAGAAGGGAATGTCCCTTGGAGGTGTTCCCGAGGTGGCCTCTCCGGGCCAGAGTCTTGGCCTTACTGTGCGCGTGCCCCTCTCCGCAGGAAAAGCCGCATAAATGCAACCAGTGCGGCAAAGCCTTCAACCGCAGCTCCACGCTCAACACGCACATCCGCATCCACGCAGGCTACAAGCCGTTCGTCTGCGAATTTTGCGGCAAAGGCTTTCACCAAAAAGGTAACGTGTCTGGCGATGTCCTCTCCTCACCTCACTTCGGGACTCGGCGGGTCTTGGCTGGAGGGAAGGCACAGAGGGATCCGGAGCGAGGCGGGCGGAAAGCTGCAGGCGCGAGCGCAGCATTTCTTTGGAATCGGGTTGTGCCCGGTGCAGGGGGAAGCTCTGCCGGCGGGGTTAACAGACAGCGTTATGTGCAGGCTGGGTTCTCCGGGAGACTGAGTTTGGGCGGTGGGAAGAAAGGACGGAGGCAGAAGGAAAGGAAACAGGAAAAAGAGCGAGTATCGCCCTATAGAAAAGGGTTCCCTTTGTAGCCGGGACTCCCCTTTCAAATGAAAAAAAAGAAATTTCGAGTCAAAATCCGCCTCCTGGAAACAATTTAAGACTCGGGGGGAAACGCGTACGGGCCCCAGGCCTGGTCCCCAGCTCGGATTTTCTAAGGCACTTCTGGATCTCCAGGTGGTAGTTGGTGGGTGAGAGGGAGTAAGTTTAAACATGAGAATAAACATGAGGAGAAAAAAGCGGGGGACACAGCCCAGGTTCGTGCGAATTTCTCTCGGCGAGGCATCAGCGGGGAGAGGGACCCGGTGAGTCTCGGGGCTGCCCAAAAGTTTCCCAGCCGGAGGGACGCGGCACCGGCCTCTGTTCCCGGGAGCACAGGAGCGCTAGGCGGCTCTGCGGGACTCAGCCTCGGTCCTGTCGGGAGAGCCTCGGGCTTGACGCATACGAAGTTTGACAACTTCTTCACTCGAAGAGGTCGCGCCCGCCTAGCCAAGCGTCGCCTTTTTTTGCGCAGGCACCTGGGCCGCCCCTGGGACGCCTGCTCCCCCCTCCTTCCACTCCATGCCCCCACTTTTTTTTTTTGTTTTGTTTTGTTTGTGGTCTCTTGTAGGGAACTACAAGAACCACAAGCTGACCCACAGCGGCGAGAAGCAGTACAAATGCACCATCTGCAACAAGGCCTTCCACCAGGTCTACAACCTGACCTTCCATATGCACACCCACAACGACAAGAAGCCTTTCACGTGCGCCACTTGCGGCAAAGGGTTTTGCAGAAACTTTGACTTAAAGAAACATGTGCGCAAACTCCACGACAGCGTGGGCCCCGCTGCCCCCTCGGCAAAGGACCTGACTAGGACAGTGCAGAGCTGAGAGCTGCAGCCTTGCCTTCCCTTCCCACCCCGTACCTACCCCAAACAGATCACACGTATAAACTTATTTCTAAAATTAAAAGAAAAAGAAAAACTATAGCAGAGAGGCTAAAATCTATTTATCGAAACCAGCATATTTTTGGAAAGCTAAACGTTTCCTCGATGACTGGCAGCAAACGCGTGGCTCCCACCTTTGTATATTCAAGAAACGTATTTAAATCCAGTGCGCCGAAACGTATTTAATTTCAGGCCTCCGCTTCTCCTCGGGCAGCCGGTATTAACCCCAACCTGTCACCGTGAGCGCCCCAGAAGAGCGCGGCGCCCCCGGCCATCTTTATACAGCCATGTAAATCCTCCTGTACAAGCGAACACGGAATATATACGTATATAACTCAATAAACACAATCATTAGTGCGCGTTTTCTTTCCCCCTCTCCCCTTGCTGTGAGGTCAGCTCAGCAAAACCCCAAATAAATAGGCGTTTTAAGCATTTTCCTTCCCAAATGCCCTAACTTTGGGGCGTTGGGACCAGGGTGAGGCCAGAGTGATGGTTCTCTCTGCGCTTATCCGTTAAGGCCCCCAGGAGCGAGGGTAAAAAGGCCTAAGTTGACTTCCACCAGGTGCCAAGTTTTTATTTGGTAACTGTTCAGACGCTTGGGATTCTGGGTGTTACCTTCTCTGGGCGAGCAACTTCAAAGAAAAGGGTTAAAAGTGACCAGGTGCTGAGGAGCTGCTTTTGGGTGAGCCCTTCAGCCGAGCGACGCGCCGTGGGAGGGTAAATGACCTGGGCACTGCCCCCCTTTCCTCCCCCAGGGCACTTAGGGGCACATCCCCTTCTCTAGGTGGCCTAAGAAGGGCAACCGCCGCTCCCGATCTCCGCTGGCGGCGAGCACTGGAGGCTAAGCGTCCCCAGCACAGCCGGAGCTTCGGGGCTCCCTGCCCTGCGCTCTCGGTCCGGGGCTGGCCCCCAGGTGCCGGGAGCCCTGCCGCGGGAGGGCGCGCCCGGCTCCCCGAGCTCGCCGCCGCGGCTGCCTCCTGGTCCCTGACTACCGCTCAGTTAGGCCATTTCCTGAATAGCTATCTCCGCCGCCGAGCTCGCTGATGCAATGATCTCACGCTTGATTTCTAAGTAATGACCCAAATTAAGAGAGAAAACAGAGACCCTTCAAACAGCATTACATTAATCATCTAATCATTCCCAGGAGGGGGCCGGCCGCCGCCGCCCCGTTTGATCCGAATCTGGATAATCAAGAGCTCGGATTACTGGCGCGTCGCGCCGGGCCTCCCCCCCAACACACACACACACACACACACACACACACACTTTTAATATCCGCGCGCCGGGCCTCCCCCCCAAAACACACACACACACACTTTTAATATCCGCGCGGCGATTCAGCCCACGTCTTCTGGAACAATGTTCCCCAGCGCCAGGAGGAAACGCGGCGCGCGGCCCGGGAGTGCGCTTCCACGCAGCTTCCCCGTGGAAGGTGTGAGGGCGGCGTGGCGCTGACCCCAACGCGGATGTCCACTGCGGGTGGCGGCTCTGTGGAGGGAACTGTGGTCCATGCAAAGGGCAACACCCAAGTCACTCAAAGTGACTTGAGTGCCGGCTAGCCCGATGCCTGGTATACAGTAGGCGCTCAGCGCGCCACTGGTTTCCACAAGCGGAACAAGCTGTCGTTTCCCGAGGGCTTGCTCCATGCCAAGCACTTGTCACACATTCTTTCGAATGTTGACAACGACCCAAAGCTGGGGATGACTATTCCCACTTTACGGACGAAGAAACAGAGGCAGAGAAAAGCTAAATGATATGCCCAGAGACGCCAGGCTAAAGAGAGAGGGGATTCAAACTACAGGCTTCTAGGAGACCAACGCTGCCTTCAGTTCTCGTTGGTGAAGGAGGACTCTCGGTGTTGGGGACTGGCGAAAGACGCTCTGGGGCGGGGTGGACGCTCTGTCCCGGTCAGGCCACGGTTCCGTCCCGCCTGC